GTAAGTATTAATTAAATTTTAAGTAAATTCAATCATTTGACCTCCCAAGCCCCCCCCCCTCTTCTGGTTGCACGCCTGTCTTAAGGACCCGTTTATTACGAGCACTCGGATTTAACGAGTACATGTTACGGTCCCTTTGTGCTCGTTATAAACGAGTTCGACTGTATAACCATGCACAATTTTCAGATTTAGAATGCGACGTGCTGAAAGGTTTAATCTCATTTATAAAATGATTGTGGTTGTTTTTGAAATTCTAACCAGTTTGAAAGTTATCACAATTTTAAGAGATTTTTTAAAGAATGTACTTACTTTTTTTTCTTCTTTAGATAATAACTGTTACTCATTATTGAAGAAAAACTTATTTTTCGCTCTCGAGATTCTTATTTTACAAGCTCTCACTCGACTTAATTTCAAAAGCAACAAAAATGTTTATAATTTAAAAAAAAGAGAAAGTAAGAATTGAATGCTGCCAAATATGAATCCTAATATTTTACTCGACATTTTTAAGAAATATGGAAAACTCTAGAGAGAAAAAAACCGTTTCCAATTTGAACAGTTTTATAATGTATAAGGGTTGGACAAAAATATGGAAACACTTCTATACTAACTCTACGTAAACAATATTTCTTTTATCGGCAAATGTCTTGGAAGATTTATATGGCAAAACTGTTGACATAATTTGAAAGACACGCTTGAAGCTTTTAGAAATGACGTGCTTTTTACCCATGCCAAATTCGGATTGATCAAAATAAGGAGATGAAAGTTAATAACTTCCTTCAAGCTTTAATGCCAGCAATTTTGAAATTCATTTTATAGGATTGCGATATTTATATAAGTAAAATTATAGTGGTCTTGAAAAAGAGAATTAAACTTCCTAAGCTTATTTTGTTTAAGGCAAATTTTGACCGGAAAAAAAGACACCATTTGTAAAGCTTCAGACATGATCTTTCAAATTGTTCTAAAAATTTTGCGTGGCAAAATTTTTAGAACTATTCTATCGCAATGTAGGCAATCTTATCCAGCAGAAAGATTGTTTTCATAGCGTTAGAAGTGTTTCCATAGTTTTGTCCAACATCTGAAGATTATCGTTATATATAGTTAACAATTAAAATTATTTAACATTTATTTCTTCTTAGTGTGTCACACCTTCTGTATTTTTTTTTCATGTACAGTTGAATATTTTTTAAATTCAAGTAATCGTTAATTTTGTTGCGATCAACATAATAACAAAATGCCCTTACACCAAACTGATATTATTATATATTATCTATACAATTATTGTTTTTTTTTACAAAGAAAAAACAACTTTTGAGAATAATAAAAATTAAAAAAAAAAACAGAGATGATTGAAAGGTAACCACGGGGGATGATAAACGGTGCCTTATTATTAAACTAAAAGGATGCTAAAAAACGTTTGATAGTAATGTAAAAGGTTGATAAATAGTAATTACAACTAAAAAAATTACAGTGTGCATAAACTAAACAAAAAATTGCCTAAACCTGCGATTGCAATGTAAAAAATGAATAATTTTTAAATTTTATTTCATTGAAAAATCATTTGATTGTTCTTAAATTTTGCTCCATTGAGAAATTATTTAATTGTTCTTAAATTTTGCTTCATTGAATTCATGTTATAACAATTTAAAAAATAATTTTTTACTGTTTTTTAAGATGGCCTTAGTATAAAAGTGATAATCATGAAATATTTTCGTTCAATTATTTATAAACCATTCCGAATTTTTTTTTGAAGTTTGTAAACTTATAAATAAAAAAATAACTGTTTTGGGTTTAAAAAACCAATAACTTTAAAAAATTCTGAAGTTGTGGAAAATTGTTGACGAGGGGCACATTGCATAAAAGTGATAGTCTTAAAATATCTTCGTTCGATTATCTATAAACTATCTGAAATTTGTGATTTTTTAAACTTTTTAAATAAAAAAATAGCTGTTTGGCGTTTAAAAATTAATAACTTTAAAAAATTCTGATGTAATTCCGTCCTCCCCCCCCCAAGCTATGCCCATGCGTGCACCTGCAAATTATACGGTTTGAAAACTTATACGGTTCCACATACTTAATTAAGTCTTTTTCCTAATGCAGTACAATTCTCCTCATCGTGAAGCTATATTTTAGATGTACGATATTTCGAGCAAGTCGCATAAGTAATAAAACTTAATTTTCTCGAAAATAAACATCAATAAAAAATTTAACTTTTACCTGGTAGTTTGAAAACTTCTCAACTGTTTTTTTAAAATTTTAATTGTTTAATTATGTTAACAGTTTTTTTTTTAAATGCAAGATTATTTATAATTTATTTCATTGATGTTTATACATGTTCACGGATGATTAGCCACCACTTTTTAAAATGTTTTGTTGTCCATTAGAGTTTCATGCAGTAAATATTAATTTTACCTGAGAAAAGAGCAGCTAACGGCTCAGGTGCCCAGATAAATTTTGATGATGATGATTAATATAAACGACCCACGTTTAAATCAGAAATGTATTTTTTTGAAGAGATTTAATTCTTTAGACAAATTACTGTACATAATATTGTGTAGTACCGCAACATGTAGGATGATACTTCAGAAAGAGAGTTTTTATTTATTTATTTATCAACTTATTTTTATCTTTCGTGATAAATGGAAACTGGAAAGAAGAAAAGATGGATTAATAAGAACATAATGCCATTTTTTCGAGTGTTATAGCACTTTAAAGTTCTTTTTCATAATAAATTTTAAAGAAGTTAAATATTCAATTAAATCTTTGGAAAGAATTATTTGATGGCCAAAAATATATATTAAAAATACAAGTTTAATTATTTAACGTACTATTCAATAAAAAATATACAGGGGTTGTGCAAAAATATGGAAACACTTCTATACCATCTCTATGTAAACAATCTTTTCTTACACAGCAAATGTTTTGGAAGATTTTACTTGGCAAAACTGTTGGTACATTTTGAAAGATCATGCTTGAAGCTTTTTAGAAAAGGTGTTTCAACAATGCAAAATTCGGATCGACCTAAATGAGGAGAGGAAGTTAATAACTTTTTTTCTAGTTTTAATAGCAGCAATTTTGAAATCAATGTTGGATGCTGGATATTGATGTTAACTCGGTAATTGGTGTGAAGCGCCACCAACCGTTTCATATGTACTAAGTAAATATATACAATTAAATCATGTAAATTATTAATCTTATGCTGATTTTTTAAATAAATCAGTTGAATAGCGACTGTCATATTAGAATGCCACGTTAATGCCATGTCTTGCCCGTCTGTTCAAAGAACTACGAACTAAATTTGGATAAAAATCTACTAACTTAAATTTATTAAGCAAGAGAATCACAACACTTGAAAAATAAGTATTCACTGTCCGGAGCAAGTTGGCATCTCTGTGTATATAACTAAAACTATTTTTGGGTGTTTTATATTGCATTAATTTCTTCAAACCATTTCAATAACGATAATAATGCAAAAATATTAAAAATTTACTCGAATTATATGCTTCTAATAATCTTGGCTTCGCCGGTCGGCGGTGACCCCCATGGCATTCAACGTGTTAATTATAGTGGCATTGGAAAAAGAAAAGGGCTTTAAACTTCCTTCCATTTTGGTCGTAGCAATATTTGCATTGTGTATAAGTGAAGAAGTCTTTGTATAAGTGAAAGGGACAATTCTAAAAGCTTCATGTATGATCCATATCAAATCTTCCAAAACATTTGCTTATATAAAAGAAAGATTATTTATATAGAGTTAGCATAGAAGTGTTACCATAATTTTATCCAACCCCTATATATATTTGATTAAGATATATTTTGTGAAAGTTGAGATTGGTCTAATAAGAAAAAAAAAATGTTAATTTTATTTATTTATTTATTTATATATTTTTTTTTGCATCTGTAGACTTATATCTATCAGGAGGATTAACATCCGTTATCACTTTTGATCTTTCTTTATCATCTTTGCATTTTGATGTTATGGGTTATTAATGTCTTTCTGTCATTTCTATGACTGGTTTTTATTCGTGTTTATGTGCCTTAACCGATGGAAATGAAAAAAAAAATGCTGTTTACATTCAATTAGTCTATATTTCAATGGTTTGAGTCCTACAGGCTGTTTTGTAATGACTATTCTTAATCTTCATTTTTAGAATCTTAATTGAGAATTAGGTATAAAAACACGCATTAGGGATTGCAGAGTAATCTTTAAACGAGGAAGAAGCAAAAACACGATAAAAATCCGCCCGATACCTATAAGAATGACGGAAAAATTTTAGTCATCAACGCCGATGGTGCTACGTCACCGAATTAGTAGTATTCATAAAGTTATCAGAAACCACGTGCTTACATAGTTAAGAGTTTTGCTTTTAAAACGTGCTGCTGGAGGAAAAAAAAGGATTTTTTTTAAAAAAAACTTAGGGAATCTTAAGACGAAAAAGTATTAATAATTTAAAAAAAGGAACAATTTTTTAAGGGTTTTTGCGAAATGTAATGAATAAAACAGTGCGTGTAACTTATAAAATTCGAGTTTATGTAGTCTCGGCTCTCTTTCCAGTAATTATGTTCATTTTATATAAAGTTCATCTTAAAATGTGTTGCAAGAATTTCGTATAATTTTCTTTTTAAAGAAAACAGACGAAATTCGACGTTTTCTCTTTTTTTTTTATTCGTCTGTTTTCTATAAAAAATTTATAAGAAAGTTTTGTAACAAACTATTAAGATAAACTGTATGTAAAATAAACATAATTACTGGAAAATTAGCCTAGACAATATAAACTCGATTTTTGCAAGCTGCACGCACTATTTTATTTTTTATTTAATACTTTTTCGTGCAAACCCACTAAAAAGATGTTATTTTTTAAAAAAGATTACATCAATTTATTCACTTTTCTCATTGTTGACGAAAAATAACAAGTCCTGCATAACATAATTGTTTGTACATCTTAAATAATTCGAAAAATAAGTTTGAGTGAATTACATATATTACTATCCACAAAGTGTTCTTTAAAAAAAATTTTAATTCAAATTTTAAAATAATTATTTTATGTAAATTAACGTTTCTCTCTATGATTAATTCTTTCATATTCTGTTATGCATCTTTATCAATGAATATTTCACATACTATTTCGTACACAATCAAATACGAAAACATGAAGATTTCAATGCGCCATTTTCATAAAACCATCGTAATAGGAAAAATATTTATAATGATTCAGTATAATTGCCATAATTCGTGAGAATGGTAGTCGTTGTACAAAAAGATCGGTTAAAACAATCTTTCAATTGTCAAAGCAATAATACAAATGCATCTCGTTAACATTGAAATGTCACAGTCTGTTGAACAGCGACGATGAAAGGTCACCAAGCAAACAGAACACTTTTCATTTTGTGCCTTTTCAGGAACAGCTGCTTTTTTATTTTTCACTTTCGTCATTGTTGTCGTGAAAATGAGAGTTGTGCGCAGGTGTTGAGAGAGAGTAAATGAGCTGCGAAGTATTTAATGAATTGGAGCATGAAAACAAGAAATTGAAATAATAATTAGTAGCCTTGATTATGAAACTTTAAGCCAAATCTGTAAATTAAGCACTAATTCGAAATATAATTTTGTAATTAAGGCCAAGTGCTAAAACTAATTTACTGTTTCCAGAAGTAACAAGGACATTTTTAATGAAAATCTGCAAATTTATGTTATTGAAAAAATATGTTGTCTTTTCTTTATAGTCGAGTAAAATTAGAATTTTTCTTTGAAAAAACTAATACGTAAGTTGTTTCCTTTTTCTTTCAAGAAACTTTGTTATATTATCATAGATAATGTCTGTGAAATGCGATAATCTCGGGGTATATGGGTATTCATTCATTCATTCGCTAATCCATATTTCGTTAATCCCTCTCAGTGAGTTTTATAATTTTGAACAAAACGCTTTAGAACAGAAAATATATAGTTAAAAACATTATCGTAGAATGATGTGTTAATGTTACCATGTATAAATGACATCTGAATATTAAATAACTTGCGCATCACCTGCCCAGAGCGCCACCTGTGAGAATGAGAAACATTATTAGCAGAAGGAAATGTAAAATACAATAATATTGGTGTGCTCTATAAGTGAGTTTTATAATTTATAACAAAACTCTTCATAACAGAAAAATATATTTAACACTAGAAAGACTGAAACTTAGTATATACATATATTTCCCGAAAGCAGTCAAAATGACTGCATTGTGAATGAATAACTAATGCGTAAAGAAATTTGCTTAATTAATTCTTAATATTTTTTAATATTATTTACAGTTATATAACAAGTTATTAGTAAATATTAGCAATAAAAAATGTACTTCACTTGGAAAAAAAAATTTTTTTGCATTATTATTTGTGCGTATTTTGCAAATGAAAAAGCAGTCAAAATGACTTCCTTGGGCTATCTAGTGTCAAAAACACTAGCGAAGAATAATGCTAATGTTGCAATGTATGACTGAAATCTAAATATTTATAAAACTTTTAAATCGCTGCACAGTACACCATCTGTGAGAATGAGAAATATTATTAACAGGTCAATGGTTATTCATTCATTTATTCGAGAATCCATATTTCGATAATCCCTAATTTTATAATTTCTAACACAAAACTCTTTATAACAGAAAAATATTGTTTATAACAATAACGAAGAATGATTTTAATTGTAGTGTCTGAATAGAATCGAAATATTAACTGACTTTTACATCACCTGCCATTACTTTGATACACTTTGTATCAGTTCTTTGCCTGCCAACTATTACACCTTTTGCAGAATATTTTACTGAGTGGTAATCATTTAAAAACCTAAGTTTTCAGAATTTTTTATAATTCTGCCAACATTTTAAAAGCCTCACCATGAGAGATCTAAAACTAAAAGGTGTTGCATATGGACTTTTAAATCATTTATCTGTAGTGGTGTGAAAAATAAGTTTAAACAAATAAATATTGCATTAAAATATAAACATAGTAAAATTTTTTACGAAAACAGTAGGAAGTTGGCAGCCCTACCCCTATCTCTTGTACGATATCTATAAAAATTGGACACTTTCGTTAACTCGTTAAAGCCCTGGACACGTTCCGATTAAGTGGCCATAAGAGCCCCCGTCATTGCTTGAAAAAAGTTAAATTTTTGACAAGATAATTCTATTACACAATTCCCACGCATTTTAGAAAAATTAAATATTGATTTTGAAAACAAGACTTATCTCGATTGTTTAATGTATTTGTAACCAGCCCTATTTGCTATTTTCAAATGAAAAAAAAATCTGAAAAAAGTTAAATTTCCGCCCTACTAGATCTTTAAACATTAACTAATTTTACACCTGCCAATATTTGCACTCTCCTAGAATGCTTTTCCAAGTGGAAGTGAAATTAAAATTTAAAAATTACTTGAGAATGCAAAAATATATAAATGGTCACATATAAAATGAAATCGAAAAGCATAAGTTTTGCTATCGCATTAAATATAAAACCTTGATAAATATCCAGGAGATTTGAAAGCTATTTCATTTTGCAAAAAGGTTTCCCCTCCCTGTAAACTTGTACTTCGTTTAAAAGAGATAAATCTTGGTAGCTCAATTATTTAAGCTATAAAATTTATTTTAGTGAAATACCACTACATTAATTGTTTTATCATTTGTTTAAAATTGTTTGTAAATGAACCTTTAGAAATAAAAGTAGTGGCTAACACTAAAATATACGTAATTAGATTAAGCGTAAGTGCCTGACTATCATTTTAATAAGACATAGATCAAATCAGTAAAATAAAATGATTCGGTAGGAAATAGTTAAACTAGTAACCTGGAAAAAAAAGGAACTCCTTTCAGCAATAACATGAACTTATTGATGAAATAAAGTTCTATGAACCGTGGAAACTCTGTCGTAGCCAAATTATTTCATTACAATCATTAATACAGGTATGCCTAAATTAGAAAGACAGTTTTCAGAATTTTTTACATGAAAATGGTTAAAATAATAAAGGAAAATGAAAACTCTTGCAGCAAATTTAAGTATCACACTGTAAATGTGATTTCCAGAGTTTTTGAATTAAGTTCAAAAAAATTTAGACAGATGGCGGTGAAAGTACCTTTCACTATTTTTACCGTTGCGTTTTCGTAAATCGTCATCCGAATATAACAGGCTATTCCGGTTACTGATGGACTTTTTATATTTAGTGTATTTTTCATTCATAAAAGATTTCGATAAAATTTTGATGGGAATTTCAGTTATTTTTCTGTGTTTTTTTCGATTTTACAAACTCTAGTGCCATCTGTCCAAAAATGTTTGAACTAAAACAAAACCTTGTCAAACAAATATATTGTAAGATAAAAATTCCTTTTTTCTTTAATTATTTTTTTGTTATACATTTTTGAACCCGTTAGTCTAAATTATAACAACCAGACAAAACAAGGTCTGCATACCTAATTGATATATTAGATCAGCTTATATGGTTATTGAGAGAAATGTTTTGGATGTTAATTACTTATATTATGAGTTTATATCAACCAGGCATCCTACCAATTATTCATATTTATATATGTTTGAATAGTTGTTGCTACTAATTTAGAAGCTTGAACATTTGATTTTTAAATTCGAAAAAATATTTTATGCACAGTACCCCTAATTAGTAATAAAATAATGAGTAAATTATTTCAGTTAATGACAAGACTGATAATTTTAGAAAAAATACGATGCTTAAGTTGTAAAAAGATTTCATTTAGATTTTCTGTTCGTAAACAGTAGGAGGCTACCACTATTTGTAATAAAATGTGTTTTGGAGCAGCTAAAAGAATAGAGTGACTATTTAATGGATGAAATAAATATATTTCTGGGAGTTTATAACTTAGAAAGGCCAAAACCTTAATACTCCACTGGAACCATGTATTATGAATATCTGAAAGAGGAATTAAAATAGATCGTTTTCAATTTTCTTTTAAGGCAGAATGTTGCTTAGCATATTTTATCATTTGCGTCTTTCAAAACATTGTCAAGATTTTGCCGACCAATGCTATCAACTTCTCAGGAATATTACGCGTACAATTCTGATTCTAACCAATTCTGAGCAACTAACAAGCAAGATGAAAATTCTAGTTATTCGGAATTCTAGTTATAGCAAGAATCTCTTTTCGCCTTTTTCTTTGAAAGGGAGAGAGGAGTCTCGAAGAAGAAGAAGGAAAAAAGAAGGAAAGAACGTGTCTTCGAATAGGAAATGGGAGATGTTGGAATGTTTTGGTGTACTGAAAAGAAAGAAAATCTTGCTTGATAGTTTTCTACCTGTTTCTTAACGAATAAGACAGTTTTTTGAAGCAAATAGTTAACCTTCTCTCAAATCTGATGTAATTCAAATAATTAACAACAAATAATAATTTTTATTAACAAAATAATTATGAAGTATTACTTGTACAAAATTGTAAATAAAAATTTCTTTATCTATTATTATAAAATAAAACATTTTGGGAGGTTAGAACCTTTATATCCTACCCCTTGGCTACGGCCCTATTTGAAACCTAGCACCTGGGGCCGCTTGCGACCCTTTTCCCATCCATCATTAACTTGTAGAGCTGCAGTCATTGTGGTGGTCGGAATGCAAATGGAATTGAAAATAGGCATTTTGTCACTGTAGGTACATAAGTGAAGTATTTACTTTTTCTGTATCTTGGAGTGGATGTGCAGTTCACGAATTCAAAACTAGCGATATGCGCGCAATAATTGATTATAAGTCTAAGTAATTGCTCTTTTTGAAAGAAAGAAAAAAATTCAATGTTCTTAAGACCGATATTCTAATTTTTTCGAAAATTATCAGTGCTTAGTTAAATTCAGTACTGAAAGTGGGACGGAAGAGGAAAAACCGGCAGTTTAACCATTTCTATAATAGATGGTTTTTGGGTTGAGTAAATCTCTTTTTGCCAACAAACTAATTATTGCTATTAACTTTTTTCTCAGGGAAGAAGCAACTATATATACGTATTGTATCCATTAAAATATTTTGGTAGTCAGGAATATTTTATTCTTCAGAAAAAATTCTAGAAATTAAATTTCATTTTTACCAGTTTTTGTTCTTTTCCGTCTTGATATATCAGGGTTCCAACGGTCATTGAAATTTTTTTTAGTAGTAGTAGTAAATTCAGGCTAAAGGTTAAGGTTTAGGCTATAGGTTAACGCTAGAATTTATTTCTTATTTTAATATACCACTTTATCGTTAAGTGGATTTGCAAGCTTGAAATTTCATGCATATACACCGAAGACCCATTACATTATGACCACTTTGTTAATAACACGTAGGACCACCTTTAGCCATCAAAACTGCTGGCACCCGCCGTGGCATTGATTCCACAAGGTGCTGATAGGTCGTCTGAGGTATCTGGTACCAAGCGCTCACCAACTGGTCCTGCAATTCCCTCACATAGCGAGGGGGTAGCGTGGCAGCACGAATTTGGTTTTCCAAGTAGGACCACAAATGCTCTATTGAATTAAGGTCAGGGGAACTTAGGGGCCAAGACATGACTTGAAAGTCACTGGAGTGTTCCTCGACGATTCGACCCTTATGACACGGTGCATTATCCTGTTGGTAAACACCATCCCCCGCAGGAAAAACTGTTGCCATGAATGGGTGAACCTGGTCTGCAACTGTGTTCAAGTAGCTTACAGACGTCAGGGATTGTTCTATGAGGATTATGGGTCCTAATGTGCCCCATGAAAACATTATTCTTGGGCGAGAAACCATGAAAACCTAGGCGAGCCCATTGTTATAGATGGAGGGTGGTCATAATGTAATGGCTCTTCGTTGTATACTTTCTTTGGAAAAATTTTATTCTTTTATTCTTTTATTCTTTTTAAAATCGTTTCAATCGGATTACGATCAGGCAACACATGCACTTCTTTTTTCTTAATCCATTTATTAAATCAAATGTTCGAATACATGAAAGGTCACTGAAGGAAGTTAAATATCAAGTTACTGATATCCACAATTATGGTTATTATGAGCTTGTCAAAGAATAATTTGCAGAGTTATTCCACGTTTGTTACAATTATGAAGAAATGAGACAAAAATGGTTTTAATAAAAAGAACGATTAATTATATTTTATTCAAATTAAGATTTGTAAATATATTAATTTGGTACAAAGAAGAATTCAAGGCGAATGATTCACAAGCAGTCCTTTTAGCGAAGAATAATGTCCTTTTGTTTGGAACATTTTCAAAGAAAAATGTCGTTAAACCAAATGTTGGCAGTGCACGAGATGGAAGTGGAGATTGCGTGCAGACAAAATAAAAATCTTCTAAGCTGTAAATATTTCTCCTTGAAATCTTCGATCTGAAACGAAAAAAAAATTAAGTTTAGAAATATCAAATAAATGCAAGCACAGTCTAGCATGATTTTTTGATCACCTTAGCAAGTTGAGTTATAGTCTTAACTGGACAGAAAGCACCAAAACTCGCGAAACAGTTGTATTCTTACGATCACCTAAGGTGACTATCACGTTGGTTCATCGCAAGTTATCAACTTATACAGGATTCACTAAACCACAAGACAAATTTACCACAGGTTAAAAAATTATACAAATTTATATTACTGAATTGCAAATTAGGGCAATTATGTATGTTGACAGCAAAGTAAGTGACAATTATAAGCATCGATTTGATGGTGCGAACTACATAAACAACTGGTAAACTTATAACAACTGGTCTTGTTTATTTAATGCTACGTAACATCGATCATTAAGAAAGATGATCAACTTACTAATGTGACCAACTTAACAGATAACATTTTAGTATAAGCTGAATTGCAAATTAAGAAATCTATTGTATTGATCTACACATTAGCCATAAACTCGTTTATGCACTGACATAAGCACTGACATAAATAAAAATTATAACTAATTCACTTAGATTACGGACTTATCCTAGACTTTCCTAAAAATTTAAGAAACACTTTAACAAGAAATCAGTTTTAAACTAATTAAGGAATAGTCAGAATCGCGTGAAGAACTTTTACGTATTAACCTTTCAACTACTCAAATTTATTCATTAAATTATTTTCAACCAAAATTTTAAGTCTCGAGGCGAGAAGGTGTGTTTAAGTTTTATTTATACACTGTTGCTTCAATTAAATAAAAAATGCAAGACAAATAAAGCGAGATTCATCTACTATTAAAGATATTTTGAAATCTTATGCAAAGATAGACTTTACGGCTAGGGTAGTTAAAAAATGGAGTCAGTGGCATTCGTTCAATTTGTGTCCGTCACTAAGTTCGTTATTTCGTTCGTGAACCCATTTACAAATATAAAGTACAGAGATATAATTCGTACGATTTGAGTTATTCAGTTTATATTTAAGCATTATTTTGACAAATTTGTTAGAATGATGTTGCTTACCTGAAGAAGTAGATAGAAAAAGAGATTTAACCGCCTTCTTCTTCTTCTGCTCCCTTGGTAAGGATGTTGGCGAATTTCTTGATGTCAATGTTTCCGTTGTTGTCAACAGGTGCTTCAGCAAGAGCCTCGTCGGCCTTTAAAACATAAAATAGAATCTCAAGAATAGCCGTAAACACAAAAACAATTAGGCTAATTTAATTGCATTGGCTTAAAAATTGCAAAACTCTGTTTAGTTCTTATTTTTAAACTGAATATAATAGTTGTTGTAAAAAGTTAAGCTTAAAATATTGACTATGCTTCTGCAAGTATGCTAAGAACGAACCAAAACGCGTAAGTTAACTGATTGAACAATTAGGCAGAATCATAAATAACTTCAGGATTTAAGATGTGCTAGAACTGAACTGCAACTTGTACATTAGCTAATTGAACTATTATGCTGAGTTACAAATAACTTCAGCATTGAAAGTGTGCTAAAACTAGACAACAACCCGTATATTAACTAAATGAACTATTTGGCTGAGTCATAAAAAATTTAAGCATCGGTGTGCTAACTACAACACACATATTTAGCTAATTGATCTATTAGATTGAATCAGAAATAACTTCAGTATTGAAAGTATGCTAAAAATTAACCATAACACGTTAATTTATTAATACTACTAAGTTGAATCTTAAAAAACTGCAGCGTTTAAAATATTCTAAAGAAATTAATCGAAACATGGAAATTAAACTGAAGGGATTTATATCTTATAATGTAAACAGGACGCTTATCTCTGATGAAAGCAAATTTTCTTTTGAAAAAAATCGCAATTTTTTTCAATGTACTATTGAAAGTTAATACAGAGAATGTTTTTGTTTCAAATACGAATAATTTGTAATATAATCATAGCGGTAGCTACGGTTGAGTAATTAAATAGATGATGAACAATTAAAAAGGAATCGAGATTCTACCACTTTTTACATTTATGTCTGTGGCATTCCTGCAAAACCTAATTTTATGGGGCTCTTTTTATTTGATAGTTTTTCCTTAAGGAAAAAAAACCTAATGATATTTAAATGACTTTTAATGAGATTTTTCTATCAGCAAGAAAAGAAAAAAAGTTGACATTGTTTCAGATCTTTATAGTATTCGAATGCATTAGTTATTTATTGAATATTTTATTTATCTTCAAAACGATGGAATAAAACTTTATTTACCTCTTTCTCAGAGAACTTTTCTCCCCAAGTTGTTAGGGCACGCCTTAGCCTGAAAGGAGAAGAAAATTATTGAGTCTATAAGTTGATGCATACATGCGGAATATTCATTGAAATGAATGTCCGAAATGGGTGGTTGTCGACTTCCACCAGTGAATGTTGACAATCAATAAGTCGTTTTGGTAAATGTCCGAAATATATACTAGGTCTAGTTAAGTGCCTCTGCCCGGTATTCCCTGCGCTAATGTTTTTTTTTTTAAATGTTCAGTGCCCGTTACTCCGAACACTGATGTTTCTCCTAATCTGTCCTCAGCAGATATTAAAATAATGAATAAATATAATAATAACATCAAGGAATAAATTAATATGGGATATAACAAATAATTTGTATCATTCACCAAAGTGATTGTTGACATTCACCTGTGAAAGCCGACATTTTCTTGATTTCGGTCGTTCACGATAACGATTAATTATTTCTTAAATTAATTGATATTGTTTTTATTGATTGTGCTGATAAAATTATGACAAAATGAATGATAAAATGAAGTAAAAAAATGCATTCGGAGACATTATTGTGTATATTAGAAGACAAAAACTATAAATTGGGTGAAGAACGAACTAAAACGCTATCAGAATCTGTAGAAAATGAGGAAGTATTGATGAAAAATATCAAACCTAATTTTATTGAAGGTGATAAAACTTGGGGGTGTTTCTAATAACCGTCTCTTATCACCTTTCGATTTCATCCAGCAATGAAACATGCTTTTATTCCGTCCTTTTGCAGCTGTTATTTATTAAATTTCAATAGGTCTACGTTTTTTTTTGCTTAAAAGTATTATCCTCTCACAATGATCCCCTTAATAAGTATATTTATAAGTATTATCCCCTTATAAGTGATCCCTTTAATAAGTATTTATATGACTTCATAACTGTCAAGAATTGAAGGTGATTACAAACCCTCTGTGATATAGATTAAGGGTGGTGATTAAAAATCTCCAGATGTATGAATTTAGAAATTTTACAATATGTTAGTGAAGTTTATAAATAAAATGTTTTTGAAAAAATGTTTTCACACAGAAAGTTTTTAATATTTATTTGCCAAAATACGAAAATAACTGGCGGTTTTGTAATTGATGAAAAAATATTTCATTGTTACAATAAATAAAGTTTTATGAATATCATATTATCCAGTAATTATTAATCCTGTTTTATGAATATCATATTATCTGTAAATAGCAAAAATGACATTAATTTATTTGAAAATCACTTAACATTAAATATATATGAGTTGTTTCCGGATAGTTTCTTAAGCAACTTTGTGTATGCATTCATCACAGTGAGAAGAAATAAACTTTCATGTTTTTAAAATTATAGTAATAAATAAATATTGAATATATATGTTTGCACTATAATTTTAAATTTATATTTTACCCTAGTTGCCTGTACTTCGTTAATAATTAATAAAAGTGTATTCAAATAATTACTTGTTAATGTTTTTAACGTAGTGGTTTCGTATAGATTCAAATAATTGTGTTATTATAAACTGAATATATTGCGCTGAATATAAAATAGACTACATATAGTTTACAGCTTCCTATTTAACTTACGTTTCTTCTTTGCATTTGCCATCTCCTTCATCGTACATGTTGAAGGCGTTGACAATTACTTCTTCCTCATCAGTTCCTGGTTGAGAAAGAAACAATTGTTTTATTTGTTTAAAATAGCATATAGCAATTTTTTCACTTTAAAATTATTTTCAAAAATTTGTTTTTGTGTAATTATATATTATGCGAGTAAAAACAATTTTCATGGAGAATCTTTTTATTCTCGTTATCTTTTTTTTCACACTTTTTGCCATTCAGTTCAATTTTTTTTTGCTTTTGAATTTGTATTTCCTCGTATTCATTCTTCTATTTTAAAGATTTTAAATATTTCTAAACAACGTGAGACCCCTGTACAGTTATCAGACCTAAGATAAATTACCGATATATGTATTAAATCAGCTCATAATTTAAATTAAATAGAGTGTTTATCTTTAAATTTTTAGCATGTATTGATGGATGAAATATCTCCTACATAGGTATATAGTTTACTAACTAAATAAGGCCGAGTTACTCTGTAGATAACATGCGCATCAAATTAAGCAATTTCAGTTTTTATGATAGAAAATTAAAAAAGTGAAATGGAATTTGTTATGTCCCCTCTAAATGCTAATTTCCAACTATCTCCCTTCTCCTTTTTATTTTCCCCCCAAAACCGGGAGCATCAATAATATACGCATCAATAATACTGAATTGAAGAAAAAGTGAAAATATAAGTTTTTACATTTTCTTTTTTTTTATTTGTTCAGAAAGAACAGATATAAGAGGAAAAGTAATTAAAACAAGAGTACATACTTTTTTTTAATTGAAATTATTTAAAATGAAAGTTAAATACTAATTGATAATTAAAATTAAATAATAAATTGATAATTAAAATTTAAAAACTCCATTGTTCAACTTTACAAAGACTTTACTGCTCTCTCAGTTAACGGATGAATATGAAAGGTCCGCTTTCAAAAGCAACTGTTCAACCAATTTCTCTGTTGCTGAGAGGATCTGGAAAACAAATCTTTGTTTAACCCAATATATAACTAAAAAGTTCAGAAATTTTAGAATTTTTATTTATTTATTGCATTATTTTTTTTAAAATCGTAATTCTTCGTCTGAACTTTTAGTTTCGTTATACATTTTCAATTTCAATATTTGCTAGCTTTTTATCATTATTTTTACTTATTTTCCTTTTAATACTCATCGCCCCATACAAATCGCCCACTTAGAGGCAATCGCCCCCAGTTTAGGAACCACTGTTATAGAAAATCAGAGTTGTTTTAAATGAAATTGTCACTAGTTTTAAATAATTGTATAAAATCTTACCAGCTATCCTGTCACCGAAGATGGTAAGGAACATGGTGAAGTTGATGGGTCCGGGAGCTTCAGCAATCATGGAGTCAAGCTCGGCTTCTGTGCATAGACGACCTACAAACACACAATTTAATAATTCACATTTAATAAATGTTTAATCATTTTTTTAAAAAAAAACTATTGCATCTGCAGACAATCTTTTAACATTTTAATGAATTTAGATGCGCTATATTTAGTTAAAAACATCTTAACTGAATATTTAATATTAAAAGAATTACTAATCTGGGTGCGCATAATTAAACTTGTAGTTGCAAGTTCTTTCACCGATAAATGCTTAAAAATCCAAAGTATGCTTTAAAATTTCAAACATAACAAAACGGTGAGTTAGATCAGTGAATGAGGCTTTGAGAATTTATGTCAACTGACGCCAAAAATGGAATTTTGAAGAACTTTTATTTATTTCTCTCTTTACTTCGCGTCAGCTGAACCTAATGGAAAGGATTTTCAAAGATGGAAGTGACTTTCTCAGCGAAGTTATGCTTTGAATGGGTTAAAACTTTAAAAAAATAGGGTTGCTGTTTACATCATCAGATAAACAATTGAAATGGTTTTGTAATCAAGGAAATGCAAATTTACCGAGGGAATCGAATGTAGCTCTGATGTCATTTTTGGATACGAAGCCATCCTTATCTTGGTCAATGAGTTGGAAAGCCTGCAAAAAGGAAAAAAAAATGTTATTAGACACAAATTATATTTTCTATTTACAATTATATCTATATTTTCTATCTAATCTATAGTTTCTTCAGTTTTTTTTTTAATTCACTCCTAGTTATATTTCTAGTTAGTTAAGTTTATTCCTAGTGAATAGAAATTTATGCATTCTAAATTTATTCATATTAAATTCATATATTATTTTATTTCGATTTTTTTATCCTTTATGTGTGTAAATTTTTCTAGAGAAAGACAATTAAACAACAAACAATTAAAGAAAACAGTAAGATAATTATCAATTAAAGTTTACATACGTAAAAATAAACTGTACATAATTACGAAAGTTTTATTGAAGTTTTATACTTTTTTGACTTTCGAAATACTTTTCTACTTTTTATACTTTGTCGACTTTTTCTGTACTTTCGAAATTTAAAATAAGAATTTTACTTACAATGTAATGTTTTAAAATTATTCAAATTTCTCCGAAAATCATAAGAGGTAATTTATTATTACATAACTGTCATGAAGAAAAATTTGCATTTATTTTGTGACTGTTTTTTACTAGGGCGTTTAAACATTTACTTTATACATTTTTACTAACAATAAAGTCTTAATCTTTAAAAATTTAATCTTAAAATAATTTTCAATGCTTTATCCTTTAATATTTAAGTATTACACTTCTTAACATTATATCTTAATAAACATTTCAATTTATATAAATATTTTTAGATAAATGAATCAAAATAAAATAACCACACATGATTCCTAAAAAATTTAACTTCAAAAATATATATTAAAAATATTATATTTGCTGATTGTTGAAAGAATAATTATCCTTTGTGATTTGTTGATATTATATACAGTTTGATGTCAGTGATTAACTTGATCAAATTCCTTTGTATACACATTAAAGAAATGTTGAAATTGTGAATGAGAAAATGCATCTAACAATTTCCAATTATAGTACGAATATTTGTAATGATTGTTTTTCACTAGGACGTTAAAATAAGCTTATTGATCTCAATATCATTTGTGAGTTTGTATATTCTTTTTAGTTAAAGGAAACGATGCTAATAAGTATGAGTTTGTTCTTAAATGATCGTTTCTTTCATTGATTTTCTTACTTCTTTGAATTCTTGTACTTGGTGAGGTGTGAACATAGCGAAGACATTACTGCCTGATCGCTGCGCCCTCCTCTTGGAAGAAGATGGCTTTGCAGGGGCTGGAGCTGGGGCTGCATCACCCTCATCTGCCTCCTTCTTCTTCGACTTCTTCTTCTTCTCTTTCTTGTCTTCGTCACCCTGAAAATCATCGAACAGAAATTAGAACGGAAATATCTACAGAACTTCTATTTCTTCACAGTAAAATAATATTCTATACTAATTATAAATATAGGTAGTGTGTAAAAATTATAATATCAGTATCATATATAGTGCGATTATACACCCGAAATCGCATAGTATGTTTTAATGTCGATCACATTGCAATTTCATTGTCATTGCAATGCGATACACGAGTATTGCACTAAATGTGATTACAAAGTACATCAATCACGAATAATATTTGAATAATTTTTATTTGTTATCAATAGATAGAAATTATAACGCGTTTTCTATATTCTGCTAAAACATTAAATGCAAGTTGCGGCTATGTTTAAGTAAGTTTTGTTAATCAGTTCTTAGAAAGAATGTTAATATTTCTACTGTACTATTCAAGGATTGATCAAAATAATGGAAATACTTCGATACTTATGTAGAAAAAAAACTATTTTTTATCAGCAAATGGCTGTTCATATTTCATAATTGTTAACTGTCAAGAAATATATTCGAAACTGTTGTTATAGTTTGAAAGATCATGCTTGAAACTTTCAGAAATGGTGGTCAATGGCGAGCAACATGAGAATTCAGAGTTAAAAGATGATTTTCTGTTTTAACAACACTATAATTAAATAAGCATTCTTATATCCTTATTGCAATCCAGTAGAATGATTTTAAAATTGCCGGTATTAAATCAAGAAAAAAGTTATAAACTTTTTTCCTCATTTTGGTCGACCCGATATTTACAAGGGTAAAAAGAGCACACTATCTAAAAGCTTCAAGCATGATCTCTCAAGTTGAGCCAACAGTTTTGGCATGTATAATCTTCCAAAACATTTGCTTCAAAAAGAAAAATAGTTTAAGTAAAGTTAGTATAAAAGTGCTTCCATTTGTTTGATTAACCCCTGTATATTAATTAACATAAACTGAATCAAAGACTCATCTCTTTGAAAATACACTTTGATGTTTTTTTTTTTTTATCTTCAACTTTTACTATTTTTTATGTCTTTATTCATTGCTTTAAAATGTTTTCATATGATCTTATAACCTTCATTTTTATAACTTGGAATAAGGACAGATTTTTTCTATTAAGTAAGCTAATTTCTCGAATACAGAATTTGAACTCAAATACTTATCTTTTTTTTTTACTTTTGTTTTTGAAGGTGTGAATGGAAGTTCAGTTTTTTTGGCACGAGTTTACTTGAGTCACAGAGTTAGAATTTTTCTGCCTTCGTCAGTTCTTTCTTTTTTTTTTCCTTCACCCTCTCACTTTAGAACAAAAATACCACGAGCGCCTGAACAAGCACTTTATTCCCGAGTTCTTCCCATTCTCTCACCAGAAATAGATATTCTCTCAAATCACCCTCGAAATATCGTATCTTAGAGAGAGAAAAAACATAGTCGCGTGAAGGACTCACATTTCTTATAATTTGGATAACTTGACATCTATTTGAAATAAGTAAATAACAAATATTTGGAATTATCCTGAACATTTCTTGAATTCCAAAGTTATAATTCTTCTGGTTCAAATAGCATTTAACTTGAAACTTTCAACAGTTATTATATAGTTAACTTTTAGAAGTATTGAAGTTATTTTTAAGGTCTTTCAAATTCTGATGTTCTATTCTTTATTTTTCAATCCATAATTAACATACAAGTTTCATATTTAAGTTATTCTCATAGTCTTTTAAATACTGATGTTTGATTCTTCTGATTTAAACTACAATTAACTTATAGGTTAAACTTTTTAAGTTCCTGAAGTCTTTTAAATCCTGATGCTTGATTCTTCTAGATCAAACTACAATTAACTTCCTGGGTTTCGTTTTTTTAATTTCTTGAAGTCTTTTAAATCCTGATGCTGATAATTCTGATTCAAACTACAATTAACTTTAAGGTTTCCTTTTTTAAGTTATTCTTAAAGACTTTAATAGCCTGATGCTTGATTCTTTTTGTTAAATTTTTCATGTAACATGTAAGTTTTATGTCTAAGTTATTTAAGTTTATTAAAATTATAATGCTTGATTTCTTTTTGGTTCAAATTATTGTTAACTTGCAGGTTCCCTATTAAATTATTAATGAAAATGTCTTTTGAATACTTCTGCTTGATACTTCTGACTTAAACCATTATTAACTTGTAGGTTTAATACTTAATGTTGAACTAATTTTCCAGTTTCAAATTAACCTTGCAATAAGTTTCCAAATTTCGTATTCAAAATACAATTAATTTTTATGTTACATTTTTAAGTTATGATTAATTTTCAGGTTTCAGATTCAAATTCAATTAATATTTTAGTTCAAGTTTTAAAATTAAATTTCCTAGTTTAAAGTTTTATCAATATTAGGATCAAAAGAATTTAGCCAAAAGGTGTGCGTTATTTATTGAAAATCTTATAAAGTCAATCTTCCATTTAGTTTAAATTTCTTTTCTGTTTTCGTTAAATTTTCCGACTTTCTTACAGTTTTCATAATATTATTTTCCTTCCATAAATTTTTAGAGTTAATTAAAATTACTATTAAAATATTAACTTCATCGAATAAGAATCAATTCACCTATGTATTTTTAAAAGTAGTATTTTAGTGTTCTTAATGAAATCAAGCATTTAAAATGATATCATTTCATTTTGCTATAAATTAACAATTATTATTTATCTGATTTGATTACATTTGATGCGGACTGACTGAGTACGTATATTTTACCTTGAATAATTCCTTCAAGCCAAAATGATTATTGAATTTGTAAACAATGTGTAAAACTGACTACAAATAAATGTTCTCAGTTATTAACAATTCAATGTGTTATTCACAATCAATTGTCATATAATAAGAAATTTTAAGTAAAATGCCTCATTTTTGAGTACTAATTTGTATATTTTTTGTGTTTTAGTTTTGTCCACCATATTTTTTTTATGCTTTTAATAATATAAACGATATCAGTATTATTTTATTTTTATCTAATGATGCATTCAAAATAGTTTCAAACATTGTTAAATCATCTTAGATTCTATGATTTTGAATAATTACAATTGCTTTATCCTACATTCAGACAAATTTTGATATCTATTGTTTAATATTACCATGTTGTGCACTAAGATTAATGTATAATATGCTTTATAACTTTAAAATATAACTTTTATTTTCGAATTTTCATTAATCTTATATCATATTTGTATATTTTTAAGTTTTAATTTTGTCCACCATCATATTTTTATATTTTTCATAATATAAATGATATCAGTATTATTTTATTTTAATCTAATGACGCACTCAAATTAGTTTTAAATATTCCTAAATCATCTTAGAATCCATGATTTTAGCAATTGCAATTCTTTAAAATTGTTTTATATAACATTTAGTCTGATTTTGATGTTGTTTAATATTACCATGTTTTGCACAAAGATTAATGTATAATACGCTTTATAATTTTAAAATACTACTTTTATTTTTAAATTTTAATTAATTTGTGTGACTAATTAAATATTTAATAGCGTATGATTAGACGTATGTAAAACGCATGATTAGATTTGCGTATAGTAGTAAAAATATTAACTACCACTCAATATGGAGCAATAGTGTCGGTGATAAAAAAGCATGCCAAAGCAAATAAACTGAAACATCATAATTGGCGTGCACTCCCGATTTATCCCTAGACACTCAGATATGGTTTAAGAAAAGAGAGACTAAGGGGAACGGGAAAAAAAAGAAGGTAGGGAAAATATTCGGGCCATCAATCCTTTTCTTAAAATAAACGCCTTCCCAACACAGAATGCTGAGAAGCTAGAAAATTGAGAGCACAAAAGAATACGACCGCCATTTTGAACGGCCATTTTTGGCGATGCTATATATAAACAGACATGGAAGGTGCTTGGTTTCACCCACAGAGAATACTGCTGGTTTGAGATTACGATACGAACTTAGTTTATTTTGACAATGCAATGTCACAACTTAGACTTATTAAATTTCAGTTCATTTTTTTTTCTCCATTCATTTTTATGTAAAAGAACTGGATTCTTAATTGAGAGAATTATCATTTATGCAAAAAAACTGAATAGATAATTGAGAGAATTGTTATTGATGTAAAAGAACTGAATATATAATTGAGGTGATTTCAATTTTGGTAAGAACTGAATAAATGAAAGAATTTTAATTCATACAAGAATTGAACGTATAATTAAAAGAATTACAATTCTTGTTACAACTTAATGCTTATAATTAAAAATGTATTCCGATTGAAGTTTGGAACAATAAATTCGGAGGGAAATTACAATCCAGGACAATTATTGAAAGCTCTTTCGACTGTTTCCTATGTAGAATGCTTCAATAATTAGCTTAAGTATAATGTAGTATAATTTAGTTTTCATTTTAATAGTCTTAAATCCTATAAATCAACAAAACTTTAAAAGAGGCTTTGTGTAATTTTTAAAATTACTTACCAACAAAATAAAAAGTTAAATTTATGCTAAACTCCATTTTTGAATATAAAATACTTATTATTTTTTCCATTATAAATTATTTGCTTATTTGTGTTCAAATAATAGTCAAATCGTTTTGACGAACACGAATTTGAATATAGTTTCTTTGATGGTAAAGGAACTTCTTATTTAGTTTAAAAATCTTATTAATGAAATTTTAATTCTGAAATCTTCAAGTTCAGGGCTCTGTATTAAGATAAGCAAATTACATAACTTTTAAATAAAAATAAAATTTCAGGATGTTCGAGGTTTTTATTTTCAGTCTAGACGTTTTTGATAAACAATTTTTCTAACGATCATGGAAACTGCAATTCTGGAACGAATTAAGTTTCTCTACTTTCTTTTAATTTTTTTTCTCTTTTGGGGTAAATAAAAAAGCCACTTTTATATGAAAGCTTTTTGGCTTGGTTTTAGTTTTTTCTATCATATCGCTCGTCATCATTCCGATTCGCAGCTTAATTTTGTGAGTTTTTTTTCCGACTCCCAGCACCTAATCTAAACATTCGCGTGCTATAACTGTCATCATTACAAACAGATGACTGCCTTAAGATTAATTTTTGCTGTGAGTTTTCTTTGACAAATTAAGATTTAATTTCGATGATTTATAGGAGTTTAATTGAATGCTTATACTCAATCTAGGTGTCGAGTTATGGTCCTCCAAAAGTTAATGAAGGAAATACTTTTTGATCATGTAGTCTGCATCATTTTTATATCAGAATTGAAAACAATAATTCTTTGTAACAGAATTTTATTTCTAGCTTGTTTTCGCGTGGAATAAAAGATCCTTGTCTACACTGTAAAAAATTGCGGATCAAATTACCTTAAAAAGTGCCGGCTTTCCGGGTGACAGTTTTTTTTAATAATAAAATTCATTTTGTCTGGAGCATGTTACGGAACAAAATATCCGATGTACAGTAATTTTTACAGTAATAATTGCATTAAAATCACCGACACTCTAATTAAATAAATGTTACTGTAAAATATTACGATATGAAGCTTTACGGTAAAGTTGGATATTACGGAAAAATGGTCTTTCGGTAAAATGGATTTTACGGATGATGCGTCCAAAATGCCGCTTCTCAATACCTTTTTTTGATCTGCAATATTTTATTGTGTATCACGGAATTTAAGAATAATAACATGTGTAACAGAATTTTCTTCGCTGGAAATGAAGTTAAAAAAAAATAGAATGGTTCATATCCATGTATAATAAAAAACTTTAAATTTTCGTATTCATTTTGTGTTTTCAATAATAACGACCCTATGAGATTTCACATGATTTTACACATAAATATACATGATACATTCATAGCTTATTCTATAAACTTTTTAACAGTAATAATTTAAATATTTTAAACTATACAATGTCCTATAATCATGATTTTTCAAAATACAAAGTGTAAGCTAAATTGCAGAGTTTTAATTTTTCTTAATTATAAACCATTCTCAATTGATAACTTTTTCCCTGTACAAAACATTCCATTATGTACGTTATAATTCTTAATAAGTCAAGATAGTCACGAATATTTTACTCCTAGCGAAAATAAGAATGATATGAAATAGCATTTCCATCAGATTTTTTTTACAAGAACGAATAATTTAATAGTATCGGATAACTAGATAATTGAATGTTATTTCATCCAACTATCAAATTTTTAACAAAAGGTTTCTCCTGGTGGTAGTCAAATATATTTTTTAATTCCTGGTTTAAAGAATGTGATTTTTTTATTAAGAAAAACAATACCCTAGTAGCCTTCTAGATTATGCTGAACAAGCTGATGAAGTTTAAAAGAAATTCTATTCATTTTCAAATTTTTGATCTTCCTTTTTACGACTACTACGAAAATCTTCTGTAATGACTGCCCTTAATATGGAGTTTTAAAACCCTTGTTAAAAATGAAGACAAAGTATACAGGGTGACACAGAATATTAAAGCAAAAAATTATTCAAAAAGAGGCAAAACTGCTATCAAAATCGGACGAATCACAAGAAAGGCAGGCGATATGAAAAGGTGAGTCGAGATTGGAAGTCTTTCTAGTAATCGCTTTTTAACTCTTTGCTGTTTTCTCAAACAGTAAAACAGGTTCAATCAGTACTACCTTACTCAATAATGATTAGTTGGATTTCGGTAGAGTTTTTTTCTCACTTAAATATTAGTTTGAGATCACTAAAATCATATCATGCTTTGTTGATATTGATTTTTAAAATGTACATTAAGGGTGGTTATCACGGAACGTCCTGTATAAGTGGAAGTGTTTTAATGTTTGTAAGAACTGAAAATGGGAAAAATATATTTCAAATGAACGAAAACAATGTTCGTTAAAGGTACTTTGGACTAAGGTACTTTTTTTTAAAAAACAAAAATCGAACTGTCTTTTATTAGTTACTTTTTTTAAATTATTCCTTTTTATAAACAGCTTAAATTTAACAAAGTAATGTTATTTTATTTCCTAATTGTTGGATTTCTATAATAAAAAATTGTAGTTCATTAATAATTAAATTAATTTGGTATGAATAATAATTTATGAAAATTCTCAACAAATAATAGAATATCAGCGAAAATCGATATTCGAAACAGGTAGTTATTTTTGCCAAATAAAGAAGAAAATTTAAAAATTATAACGTTAAACTTTTTGAAAATAAGTCTTATACGTTATCTATTTAACACGGTTATAAATTGTTTTAATGAGTTTGAAAGCCCAAAGCTGGTAAACTCATAGTCCATAAATAACATAATTTTGTTACTCTACATTTAATTTATTTGTTTTATGTGATTTTTATACTTTATATCTATATTTTCTATTTGCAGTTACATACATTTCTGGTTCATTTCACACCATGGCTTATAAACCCTTATCAATCTATCAAGTCTTAGAGAAGAACACCGTAAAGATACATCCAAGTTTGCAGCGATATTTGAGCCTGCTACCACCATGCTACAGAGCATTTATCGGAACGGCAACCCAAAGACACTTTCTTTTTCTCGATATTTTCTTTAAAAAGGTTAATACAAAAGTTATCCCGTTGTTCAAACAGGAGTTCTTTTGAATTTATTTCAGTACAATAATTTTAGCTAGCATTTTTCATTCAAAACTCTTAAAATTGTTCAAAATGGATTGCCATTACCGAATTTTATCAAGTAAATTATTATTAGATAAAAACCACATTTATTTTCCCATCATAAGACTAAATGAATATGATACTCCTTTAAATTTTTTTTTTACATAAAAATTGAAAAAATTAATTATTTTCCGGAGTTTTAAACTTATTTCCACAGTTAACACATTTATTGCGTGAAAAAAAATTTTCTCAGAAAATATTTACGAACTAGTGTTTAGTTTATTAATTGTTTATAAACTTGTTTTCTTTTAAAAAATATCATATTTAAATGATTTATTAACGATTAAAATTTTTTATATATACATCCTAACTTTATTTCCATTTATGGATATTCTAATGAAAATAAATATATTGAGGGCAAAATATGATTTTTGTTGACCTTAGCTCCAAAGAAAAGTTTCTAAAGTAATTCTTTTGTCAAATAATATGAAGAATGATTTATCATAACATTCTTTGCTCTTGCAACATGTAACTGAAGATAAGAAATAAAAAATGTAAGTAAAAAAATAAGAAATTCATTGAAAATAGATTTATAAGAAAAATCTTACGATTAATAAATAAATTTAAAATATTTACAAAAAATCTCTTAGATTGGTTTAAAAATATTAAAAATGAATTCTTCAGTGTGAATTTAATTACATAAACTAAAATCACTAATTTCGCTCGAATCGGTTCCTTATCAAATATTTAAAATGATACACAAAACTTTTAGATGCATCATGCAATTTTCATCAATAAAATCCAAGCATTTTAAAGTTGATTCATAAAATAATATTACATTTTATGTTGTTATAATAAATATAACTTTGATGAACATTTTAGAAATTGTTTTATAGGTATTAATGTTTGTGCTTATTTGCACTTATTTAATTAATTACTCGAAATAAGTTTTTTAAATTATAAAAGCATAGAACATTAATTTAAAATATTCGATGATTTTATTGATGATCACAAATTCACAACACAATATTAATATTTAAGTCGTTATAAAATGGAAAAATATAAGTTTCGAAATAGGAAATTTTAACATTCCAAAATTCTAACACACATAAAGTTGAATTATTAATGTTATTGAAAACATGAATTATTAATAACACTATTCATATATTTTTGAAGCTTTACTATTTTTATATTAATTAATTTGCTAAAAATTTAGTTTTAAACCTTAAAAAGCAAGCATCACACAATGTTTTTGAAATTTTAGGAGTCATAAAATTTTAAGAAATATTTCCAAAATAACAAACAAAATGAATCCAGTTGAATATAATCCAAGGCAGTTCTATTCTAATATTAAAATTTATTTATTTATTTCAAATGGCAGAGGTAATTGACATGAAAAAGCAAAAACATAGGAACAAAACAAGAAAGTAAAAAGTCATTTCCTTAGGAGCGCTCTTGCTTCCCAATCTAATATTAAAATAAAATTAAAAATAGTTTTATCAAATATTTTGTTTGAAATTTTAATCTCTCTTTTACGTTTCTATGCAAGAATAACATTGAATAGATTTAAAAATTTTATCTTTCATTTTTATATTCAGATCCTTTAAAAGATTCTTGTTTATTGTTCTGATTTATTCCTTATTTTCAGCTTAAAAACTCAAAACTGTTTCCAAGACAAAATTTATGAAATATATCTTTGCTTGGAAGTTAAATAATTACTAGAAATTTAATTAAGAAATATGAGCCAAAATATATTAAGCTTTAACTGCTCTTACAAACGTGTCCGAAGTAAACTAACGGTAGAATTAATAAATTAAAAGAAAAAGAAACTCATTTTCCCTGCGTGGAAAAAATGAGTTCGGTAAATAGTAGTGCTTCCATGTTTCAACTACATGTTTACGAACCGTAACTTTTTTGACTGTCACAACTTATTCCACAATTTACTCCATGTAACGTATAATCCCAAGACAGTTTAAGAAAACATCCGAAATCAAGTGAAGCGTGAATTGAAGAGGAGTCGGGGATGGGAGAAAAAGGTATGTATCAAGCAACTAAAATCCACATCACTACTCACCATGATGAGTTACTAGTTGATGAGGAGCAGAAACTAAAGAGAAGATGCTAGGTCGAACCCCGGCTCAAGAAGTGAGGATTCCGGCACCCCCTCTAGTAGCCTATCTCCTCGAACTCCTCCCCCTTTGACGTCACCTACTTCCAGGTACCCCCTTGCCAATAATACTCTATGAGCTGTTAGTCCCCTTACTTTTTTAGGGATGTCTGCCAAGATGTGGCGTTTCTTCTCCGATGAAGAACATCACATACCAAAGAAACTGGCAATATACAGATATAGAGTGTTCTAAAATTGGATTCTCTTTGGAGGACTTCCTTCCACCAAATAAAAGACATGGATAGTTGTTGTTTTTGCAAGACCTTTTTGTTTCTTTTTATTTTTAGGGTATTGTGTGGTGCCCCACTCACTAAAGGTCTGTCTATTAAGAGGATGGAAAGTTTCGTGAATTTGATTGGTTTTGTAGGCCAACACGTGAATAAAACTGTAACTGGAGCGTGCCAACAGCCATAGTAATGACCCGGTAGAGTTTAAAGAAAATAGCTGAATGATTTAAATGCTATTTATTAACCAGCGATAAATTATTCTGATATTTGGAATATTTACTAAAAACGCCATGAAAACATTATGTCATGTCACGTGTTAAATAAACTGTGACTTATTTTGTCAGATAGTATTTCAATAGCAATGTGTGGAGTGTGAAATACATATTTTTAATTCATAAAGAAAATAAACTTCTGAATGTAATTAAACAGTTTGAACTAATTATTAAGCTAGTAAAAATGTAAAGTAAAAAAAAATCAATTTTAATTGTAATGAAGTCATAGTAGGAAAAGTAAAAGAAATATTTCTAATTCATTATGGAATGAATGTTTTCAATGAAGTTAAAAAATAAAGTAATTATTTAAGAAGGAAAATTCTATTATAAAATTTATTAATAATTATTAAAGCAAAAAAAAAAACTAATTTCAATAGCAGCGAAATCATAATGTTGAACGTAAAACATATATTTTTGATTCATTATGAACATAATATTGATAATATGTAATTAAATGACTTGAATTATTATTTAACTAATTAAATTTGAAATTGAAAACAAAAATTTCAATTGCACGGTGATATAATGTTAAATGCAAATGCAAAATCAAGAGGAAATTAATATTTTAAATGTCATTGAATCACTCACGTAATTACTTACATAACTAGTAAAATTTCGAAACTATTTTCATTCGCTGCGAAATGGCAATGAGGAGTTTAAGACATAAATTTTTAATTCTTGATAAAAATTAAAATGTTTAAAGTAATTAAGCAATTCGATTTAATTATGTAACTTGTAATATTTGACAATAATAAGAAATTTTTTAACTTCAATAGCAATGATATCGTAACATGGAACGTGAAACAATGATCAAACAATGACTCCAAATTTAGTCAGATCAAATTTAATTTTGCTTTCAGAAGGCGTTTCCTTAGAGCCGCTCTTATCACCTCAAAGCATATTGATTTTCACACCGCATTGAATTAAATCATAACACACTCTAAATGAATATTCTTTTTAAAATTTTCCAATAAAAGATTTTAACTGCTTTAATGGGAAAAAAATAGCAGAAGTTTTATTAAACCATGATTCTTAACGTAGCTACGAATTGAATTAAACAATTTTACACCATGTAGCTGCAGTACTGAATGCAATTCTAAACACACCGCTCTACTTTACTGTTAAAAAAGGGATTTCTGTTAGAGATTTTTGTTCTGTGACTTTCAAATTGGAAGGATAAATGATGATTTCTCGAATATCATTAAAACTTAACTTCCAGTTTCCCCGGAACGCTTGCAAGCTTAAATATACTGCATTTTGCAAACTAAGTTCCGGCCCTTGCTGCTGACACTGCGTTAAAATCTCGTGTAAAGTTTTATAGATTATTGAAACTGGTTACCTTATTAGTTTATTTTATTCTTTATCTGAAATCACTTTTGAATTTTTCTAAAGATTTTGCTTTTATATTTAATGTGGTGACTAAATTTACATAATCACATTTTATTCTTCTTTAAATAAATGTAGTTTAAAATGATTTTGACTTCTTTCATAAAATGATTTAAACCATTACATTTTCCTAATTTAAACAAATATATAATGAGCTTGCTAGCTTTCTAAAAGTGCTTCAAGCGTTAGTTAAATTTCAACGAATAAGTGCTATTCACCATCATACAGTCTGAATTTAATTGGCTTTTCCTTTCCGTTAAGAAAACACATTTTTAAAAAGCCTAGAATTGGCAAGTATGTATTTCTTTTTTTTATTTTTTAGAAATTAATTTCAATAAAATTAAAACAATCATGTACAAAATATATTAACCCCCCTATACAGTTTTTAAAAAATGAAGAATAAACTGGGTACCAAATTTTTGTTGCATTTGTACAAGTACTCGATCTTACCCAATTCGGATGTGGGGGCTTCAAATTTGAAATTAGTTTTGTTCGGAAAGATATCGAGTTTCTTTTTTCCAAAATGATATTTTCAGTTTAATTTATTTTTTCTGGCAATGTACAAGTTTATAAAGAACGTATAGATTTAAATACATAGATATACTCTAGTCTGCTTCTTTGAATATAATACTTAAGACAAAAAACATATGACCTTAACGTATCACATGATAAACTGAAACCAATCATTGTTTTCTTCCTACCATTTCTTAGGTAACAGAGAAGTGGTGAAACTTAATATTCCTAACGTTAATTTTAAAAATTCTTCGTGAGAAAATGTAATTCAAACTTGTAGCTTTTCAGCTGTGCAAAGGGATGCAGTGAACGGTTAATCACAGGAGTATTAAACCATTACATATCGATCTGATATTGATCTGAAGCTATGCATTTGCAATATTTTCTGGAGACTTAAGTATTAAGTTGATAATTTATAATGTGAAAGCGATATTAGAGCGTATCATCTTTTCTTGAGCGCTAACTCCCTACCAATTTTAACAAAAATGAAATTTTTACATTACTACGAATTGTTACACAAAAGGAACGTCACCCTCTGAGTTTCTCACGTGGGGTTGATCCATAGATGATTTCAGTGTGTTGACCAGTCCAGAAACGAGTGATGTTTACCAGGACGTCTGGACCATCACTTTAGCAGAACCACAGACCTACTTGTTTGTTAATTGTTAATTTTGCTTTCAAATTGCTAATTTATAAGTTGGTAAATTATTGCTTAATTGCTGTTACTTACTTTTTGCATCATATGTTTAGTCATGCCTGTCTTTCTAGAATACAAATTAATTAATTTTCTTTTCACTCTAATTTGCATTATAGTTAGCTGAAAAAACCACCTTAAAGTCAAAATATTCTAGATGAATGGAAAAAGGTCGTAAACGGTCTCAAGCACCCAGATAAAGTTTAGTAATGTTGATGGTGGTGATTACTGTATATTGTATTACATTTAAACTGATGTAGTACTACCAATAGTTTAAATACATAAGTAGTCGGAATGCAAGGGGTTAAAATAATTAATTCAATCAGAGGAATTTTATTTAGCAATAAAAGTTTAATATAAAAAGCAAAAAAAATTTAAAGTCAATTCCTACTTAGATCAGCAAAGAAATTTTTTATTTTAGTTACTTTTTATTAAATAATTACAATTAATATAAATATGTATAAACATATGGCAGAATCATAAAAATAAGTGGCAAAATATTTATTCCTAAATTTATATCCTGCTAAATATCTTATATAAAAGAAAAAAAAATTTCTCCCACATAAAACTAAAATTAATTATCTAAATTTAATTAATTAAATTTAATTAATGAATTAACGTTTGAATAAACTGTATTAACATCAGGTGTTTTTTACTACTAGATTAAAAAATGTATTTGAATTTGAGTGGAGGAATAAAAAGTATTTTATGAACTATTGAAAACTAGAACAAGATACATAAATATTTATAGGGAGAGTGTGATCTAGTAGTTGGAATTGAAAGGAAAAAACATTCTATTTTTTCCCCTTAGATGGGACAAAAAGAAAATTATTCTTCCCAACTGAAAGTAATTATTAGCTTTTTTAATAATTTGGTGGTTCCAACCCTTTTGGAGAGACAAACATCCGTCAGAGGAAAACTCTTATTGCCAGGTGATCAGGAAGACTAACAGCAGTAAAATTTAAAATTTGATGTATTTACAAACATGTAAGATTAGTAGGTTGGGGACTAGAACCGTTCGGTTAAACCCAAAAGGAACGTAAATTTTTTTAAAAAAGGTTTTCTTCTTGGTCATAGCTGAGGAAAGTGGGAACACCCTGAGTGAGGCTAGTGGTGATTGTTTATAAAGATCGAATTTTTTTGCACTCAAAGAGGTGACAATGATCACACTAAGTCCACGATCTCGTTCCAAATTGCACTTAATTGAATTGTGTTACTTCCGGGCTTGGGTGTTTCGCTTTATTGAATTTACATACATTTTCGGGCTTGTGTGCTCAATTCAGGCTTATAAACCTTTGTCAAGCAGAAGGACACTTAGCACACTATAGAGAAGGACAGCACGAAGATATATCAAGGATAACAGCGGGATTTGAACTCGCTACCTCCACGCTTTGCACACCGTTTGGCGGAGACTTCGGTTGGATAAAGAAGAGGAACTTTGCTCTTCGTTTTTATCCTTTGTGCTGTAAGAGAGAGTTCAGTTGAGGGTGATGTGTTGATGATGATGGAGAAGAAACTTCAAACTAATTGAATGCGAAATTTAGAGTTGGCTGTAATAAAGTAGCGTATTATATGAGCCTTTGAATTATTTAAAGGTAGAGGGGAATAAAAACTTTATAAATCATATTTACTAAATCAAGGATCATACATTAAAAAACTTCCACACCAAAATATTTATCTGCTCTCCGGATCAAATTGCCGTCTCTGCTTTAGTGTATTATTATGAGTTTAGTAAATTTGACTCAAAAGTTTTTGACTCACCACTCATTGCTTCTAAGGATTTCAAAGACATATATAAAACGCCACTCTGGCACAGTTACAGGGTATTCCAGTGGTCCCTCAAAATTATTGTAGTGGTATATAAATTTTTGTCATAAACTGTAGGAGAGAGCATTGTACCTTGGAGCAAAAAGCCTATCCCTGCCATCAATTGGCAACTAACAAAGCTAACGTAACTTCCTTAGCCACCAAGA